TAAAAAAAAAAAAAAAAAAAAAAAAAAAAAATAATATATATTTTCTAATTTTTTTATTTAATAAACTCGGTAAATCAGAATAAATTTAAATAAATTTGATTAATCATATGAATATATTTATATATATCTATATATATATTTTTTTTTTTCTTTGAAAATATAAATTTAATCTTAAATATATTTACACTAATATAAATATAATTTTCAAAATAATAAGATAAATTGATAATTATTTTTAAAAAAATGAAATAAATACATGCTATAAAAAATCCATTTAAAAAGATTTTTAAAAATTAATATTTTTACATTTTTAATTAACAATATTAATTCTTTTATCTTATTTTTTCTTTTTTTTTTTTTTTTTTTTGCTTAAATTATTAATATTTGTAAATAGAAGAAAATGATAATACCAGTTCGTTGTTTTACTTGTGGTAAATTAATTGGTAACTTATGGAATATTTATGAAAAAAAATTAGAAGAAGGTATATCAAAGTCTGATGCATTAGATGAATTAAATTTATACAGATATTGTTGTAGAAGGATGATATTAACTCACGCTGATATGATGGACAAATTATTATCATATAATATATATGAAAGAAAATTATAGTTATCTTATAATTTATTATTTTAATATTATTTAAAAAAAAAAAAAAAAAAAATATTATAAATTTTTTTCAGAAAAAAATAATATTTAGTATTATAATTAAAATTAAATGAAATATTATGCATCAAAAATTTCATTAAAAAACAAAAAAATAAAATAATGTTTAATTGAGGGAAGAAAGGGTAATTATGTAATAAAAATATAAAAATTATTAGTCAATGATATCATTCATAAAAAATTTTTTTAATAAAAATATAATGTAAAAAATTAAATAAATATTTATATATATATATATATATATATATATATATATATATATAATACATAATAAAACAGTAGTATATTTTTTATGTTTATTATAAAACTAAGATTTTTTTTATTTTTCTTTTGCATTCAATCAATATAATTAACGTCTATATCTATGAATTGGAACTTTTCTTTAATTATGTCTATAATTGATAGAGGATCAAGCATAACGTTATTATTATAAGTTAATTTAATTTGATTATATGGCTTTTGTAATTTTTTAGATAACATTAATTTTAAATAACCAACTTCTATACTGGCTTTTTCATACATAACTTCTGTGTTACCACAAGGTAGATGAAAATTTATTTGAATGTGATTTTCAACTTCTATTTTTTTTTCTTTTTCTATATTTTCACCTTTTAATGGAAAAACAATACCTTTGGAAAATTCATCCATTTGTGCCACTATTATTATATTAACTTCTTTTTCTATATTTATTTTTATTTTTTTTTTTTTTCTTAAAAAAAATTGAAACTTTTTTTTTTTTCTGTTGTAAATTTTTTATCTTTTCTAATCGTTAAAAATATTATATATTTATATGTATATTATGCTTTTATAAATATTAAGATTAACTTGTATGAATATTCTTTTTTTTTTTTTTTTTTTTTTAAACTTAAATTAATTATATATATATAAATTTTTCAAAAATGATTTTAAAATAATATTTTATATATTTTTTTTGAAATATTTGATATTATTGTATAACAATAAACAATTAAAACGATAACTCTTAAATTGTGTACTTTTATAAATTAACAATTATTTATTTTTTTTTTTTTTTTTTCCATTATTTTTTCATTTCGTTAATAAAAACAATATGAACTATTCAAATACATTATTTTTATTATGTATAGTCTTAATGAAATGATATCATATTTATTAGTATAATTTTTTTTTCTTTTTTAAACTTATTTCACTAAATTGTTATAAAATTTTACACAATTTTGCATAATTTTCCAAAATATTTCATCTAATTTTTTTGTATTTTTATTTCAATATAACTATTTTGAATAATTAATGAATTATTTATACATTTGTAAGTTTAGGAATTTTTAATGTGCATTAATAAATTTATCTTTTTTTTTTTAAAATATGAACAATTATAAACATTTAAATATTTTTCACTTTATCTAAGAATTATATATATATAGAAAGATAGACACTTGAGTTCTGAGTAATTTATTCTAAAATGATTTAAGTCTTTTTTCTATTTTTTTTTTTTTTTTTTTGTAACAAAAATATATTGAAAACTTAGAAATGTTCTCCAAAAAGTTATTATTTTCAAAAATTTTGCCATTCAAAAAATTAGTTACTATATTTTTATATTCTCTATTATAGCTGAAAATTTTTTTTTTCTCTTTTAAAAAAATAAAAAAACTCAGTTTTTCTTGTTACCTCCGTTTTTAATTCATAAAAAGATAATTATTTAATATCGATACTATTTGTAATTACATACACTTAAAAAAAATTATTTTATAAAAAAGTATAATTAAAAAAATAAATAAATTTTTTTAATTTAAAAAAAAAGAAATTTTTCTTTTGTAACTTTTAATATTTGAAAGAAGTGTATTAGAAAAAATTTAATTAGATGTTTAAAACAATAGAATTACTAAAATGAAAACTAAAAGACAATTTTCTAGGATTATTATGAATTCTTTATTTTCATTATTTTATTAATTATTAACTTTAAAAAAAAAAAAAAAAAATTAAATAAAATAAAATAATAATTCTATGTATATGGAATATATAAGATAATTTAATAAAAAAAAAAAAAAAAAAAGCTATAAGATATAAAGATGATAACATATAAGAACAAATTTTAATGGTTTTAAATTAAAGTTTTAAGTGTATTTATTAATTTTATTATTTTTTTTTAATATCAAATCTTATTAAGAAATTACTTCAAATATTATTCTTCCATTTTTATTTTTATTTTTGAATCGTTTTCAATACCATATGTATATAGACTCGCATTTGTATCAAAAATTTCTATACATAAAGGAGAATTCTAAAAAAGCAAAAAAAAAAAAAAAATAAAAATAGAAAGCTAATAATAAAGATATTAATAAAGATATTATAATTCTAATACTAATGAAAATTTAATTAGAACTTTTAATAATTATATGCTAAAGTCTATATCTATATTTTTTATTTTATTATTTTTTATTTTATTATTTTTTATTTTTATATATCTTTTTAATTTACCTCGTCAGTGTAAAATAATTGCAATTTAGACAAAGGAATTGAATATAATCTTGAACATAAATATTTTAAATCTTTTATGTTCATATATTTATTAACTTTTTTTTTTATAATATTATATTTTTGAGAATTTAGAAATTCAGGAATAATTGTAATATTAATTAAGTTGTTTTGTATACACTTTTTCATTTCATTATTAATCTCACCTATAAAAAAAAATAAAATAAAATAAAAATGTACAAATGAAGAATTTTATATAACAATTCTTTTATTTTAAAAAAAAATAAAATATAATTATAATAAATTTAAATAGTTATAAATTTTTATGAATATAAAAAATATAAAAACAAATATAGGTTTTATTACAAATTCGTAAATATATATTAAAATTATTTTATTTTGTTAACCTTGTGTTGCTTCATAATGTATTTTTTCTAATCTACTACTATGTCTCCTATTTAATACCATTTCGTTAAATATTTTTGCAACTGAATCTTTTTGATATAAAGATATAAAAAATCTCTCTGAGTTTATCCTTTCGTTTTTGTTTATAGAACTATGATTTAAAATTTTTAACTTTGGTAAAATAGATATATAGATATATCTCATGTTATTTTTTTCTTTAAAATTATTTTTTTTATTTTGAATTTTTAATATTTCTAAATCATAAAAAATGTAAAATAAATCTCTTAAAGTTTCATAATTTTTTATTTCATTATTATCGAATAAAAATTCTTTTAGATTATTAAATTTTGTATTAATAAATTCAAATTTATCTAAATAATTATCTTCTATTTTATTATTTTCATCTTGACATATATTATATGCTATATCTATTAACTTATTATTATCACTATATTTATTATTATTTAAATATATAGATTGAAGAGAACTTACTTTATAAACAAAATAAAATAACTCTTCATAATCATATAAATAATTATCATTTAGTACAATTTTTCTTAAATTTTTAAATAGATCAGTACTATAATAAAATATCCTTTCATCATTATTAGTAAAGACGTCTATTTTATTATTACTGATATTATAATTTAAATATTTTTTCTCACAAAAATTTTCGTTTATTTCATTAAAATCTTTTTTTTGATCATTGAATTCAACTTTGTTATTTTCTTTTATATTTTCACTTTCATAAAAATTTGTTCTCTTTAATTGACCAACTTTATTTATGTCAAAATTGCTTTTATTTAGATAAATAATATCGTGCTTCATTTCAGTATTATAAAATGTTCTTTCATTTACATTTTCATTTAAATCTCTTAGCACATCATAGTAGTGCTTTTTCGTATTAGTATTAAATAATTTATTATATGTTTTGTTGGTTAAATATTTATATAAAATGCAATTTTTAGTTATTTTTAAATTTTTTATTTTTATGTTTGTTAGATAATTCTTTTTTAAGCTTAGAACTTCTAAATTTGGAAAAATAAAGGATAAAATTAAAATGTCATTCCATTCAATAAGGGTGTTATCTAAACACACTTCTTTTATTTGTTCAAAATAAATTAAATCATCATCCTTATCGTCATTATCATTATTATTGTTGTTACATTTTTTGTCATTGTTATCAATATTATAATTATTTGATAAATTTTTAACAAATATAGAATCTAAAGAAATGTTCATGAATTTATTGTCTGATATATTAATATAAGATAATTTACTTGCAATATTAATTATTTTAAAAATATCAATCCATCTACTAAAAAGATTACCACATAATGATAAACTCTGTAAATTGTTAAAAAGTAAATTATTAATAATTCCACATTCGTATATTAAATATTTATTTAATGTTATGTTTTCAAGTTGAGAATAATTCTTAAAATAATTCATAATCTTTTTTTCACCAGATAAAATAATTTTTTTTTTTTTTTTTGTAAGATAATCTTCAATAGATAAATCTAGTTCAGGATAGTAATTATATCTAAATTTTAAGGCTTGAATGAAAGTGATTCCTACATAAACATTTTCAATGGATAAAAAAGAACATCGTGTTAAATCTTTATATCTATTTAAAATTTCTTCATTATATTTATTATTAGTATTAATATCAGAATTTAATTTATAATAATATAATTTCGTTTTTTCTTTTTTCAAAAAATCTACAGGTAAAAAATAATAGTGATCTTTATAATTACCCATGTTTTTTCCACACAATTTTTTGCTCCATTCAATACCGTAAAATATTTTATTAGGGAATTGATTATTTAGATTTCCCATATATCTGATTGTTCCTATTTTTATTTTAATATCCTGATTGAATAAATACATTTTCAAATTCTTATCCACATTTTCTTCATCTGATTCATTTTGTATTATATTTTCATGATTATTTATTTTATCATAATTGCAACTATTTCCTTCTTCATTTGCATTTCTGTCTTCTTTTTTTTTATTTTTTTCATCTACAGAAAAATCACAAGTAAAAATTCTTTTCCCAATAAATAATTCCTTCTTATTGTTAAACAGATCTTTCATTTTATATTATTTATGCATATTTGTAAAAGAGAAAATAAATATGCTAATAAGAATTTTTATTACTGTGTATAATAATATTAATAATGGATGAATTTAATTATTAATTATTACCCATTTATTTTTTTTACTAATAATATTTAAACATATTATTAATTCTTATAGCTACATTATATATATATATATATATATATATATATATATATATATATATATATATATATATTTGTGCATATAAAAACATTCAAATAATATGTAAAAAATTAGAGATATTTAAAAAAAAAAAAAAAAATAAATATTCTATTTTAAAATAAACAAAGAAAAATAGAAAAAACATATTTATATTTTTTTTTATTTTCTTCTATTTTTACTAATCATTATCATTTCCTTATGAGTATTTATGGTGTTTTTTTTTTTTTTTTTTTTTTTGGGTAAATACCATTTTCACATATATTTAACTCTCATATATAAAAAATGAATAAATAATAATTAAGGAATATTTTAAGTTATTCAAACACATTATGTAAAGTTTAATTAAAACAGTTTTATAATAATTGCTTAAAAAAAAAAAAAAAAAATTCACATATATAGATAAACTATTATATATCAAAAATATTTTCATTAAAAAAAATGAGAGATTACAAGAAAAAAAAATGTAAATACACATTGATATATTATAAAAAATATTTTATAATATATAAACGTATAGAGAAAAGAAAAAAGAAAGGAATAAATTTAAAAAAGTAAAATAAAAAAAAAAAAAAAAAAAAAAAAAGGAATTTTAAACAAGTAGAGAAGCATTTATGCAGCCATCTAGTTCAGGATTGTTAGTAACTTGTGCAAATTTTGCCCATATTACTTTTCCTGATTGTGTTACTAAGCCTAATTCACTTACATTAACTTCTATTATTGTTCCTTTTGTTATAATTCCTAAATTAGTGTATAAATTTGATTGAGGATTAACTTTAACACTAATTATATCTAATGAAAATGTTGCTTTTAACTCGCTGTGATATACATTAGCTTTTTTAAATCGTAAACTACTTGGTCTTATATATCTTTCAAACTTTGGATTTTTTCTAGTGAAGTCATTACCAACAAATGATATTTTATCAATTAATCTTTTCCATGTTTTTTTTCTTCTTTTTCCTGATTTTACAACTCTTAACATTTCAGCTTCATTAAGTGCTTGTATTTTAGGTATAGGTAGTTGCCATTTTCCTGCCTTATTTTTTCTTTTTTGTTTAATTAAGTTAGTTAAAATTTGAGTATGTTTAATTTGATTTCTATCTAATAAATATGAAGGTAATCCATTTTCATCACGAATTTTCTCAACACTTTTTACATCTTTTAGTTCATGTGATTTTATAGTTTTTTTAAGATTTATTTTTTCTGTATATCTTTTCTTATTATAAATTTTTGCTTTTATTCCTCTTAATTTTTTTGCTTTCAAGGATTCTTTATGTACTTTTCTTGCTTCTTTTTTTCTTAACTTTTCAAAGTAATCAAATCTATATCCATATCTTTTTCTATGTAATTCAATATAATCATTTTGTGGCATCTTTACAGAAATAAAATAAAAAAATTAAAATAAAAAGAAAATGATATTATTTTGTATTGTTTTTCTAAGAGCATTTAAATTGAATATAAAAAAAAAAATTTACATCATTTTTTATTTTTTCTTATTAATAATTTTTTATAGTTTTACAATAATATTTTTATAAAATTTGTAGAAAGAAAAAATTTAAGCAGCTTTTATAATTTTTTTTATAAACTTTTTTATTCTTATTATACTTTAAAAAATTTATTATAGTAACAGTTTAAAATTATTTAAAAAAATATAATATAATTTCTCCTTATAAATTTGAACTTTTTTTATTAATTATGCCAACAGTATTTTTTTTTACATTGGAAAAAATTTTAAATGTCAACTATATGTTTATCTTCTATGAATGCGCAAAATAATTTTTTAAATCTATATAAGTATTATCTTATATTTTAAATAATTTAAAAATAACATTTAAACATAATTTAAAAAAAAAAAATAAAAATATAATAAAATATAGTAAATGAACATCAAAAAAAAAAAAAAAAATAAAATAAAATAAACCATATGCTTTTGAATAACATGCTTTTTTGGTTAAAATATATAACTTTTTACCTTTTATGGCAAAAATAAAAATGTATATTTAAATCATAATGAACAAAAAATTTTTTAATTTTTATTTTGTCAACAAAATATTGAAATATAATATAATAAATTTATATGAATTAAAAAAAGATATTTATGAAAAATGTTAAAAAAAATTTAAACCAAAAAAAAAAAAAAAAAAAAAAAAAAAGAATAAAAAATGAAAAAGAAAAAATATCAAAAATTTTTAATTATTAAAAAAACTTTTCAGTTTATCAGGTAGCATCTTTAAAATATAGTTTTCCTTTCTTATTTTACTAAACCTGCAAGAGAAAATTATTAATTAAAATAAATTGAAATATCTTATATTTATATATCTTAGTATATTTTGTATGTCTATATATTTTTAATGAATTATAAATACCATGGTTTAATTTCCCAAAATGGAAATGAAATTACTTGCCAATTATCATTTTCTAATAATCTGAAAATTTAAAAAAAGGAAAAATGTTAAAGTATAATTTATTTTACGAATAGTAATTAAAATACAAAAATAATTTTTTTTTTTTTTTTTTTTACTCTATATTATTTATTTTATTTTTTTTTATAACCTTTTTTTGAATATTGTTTTGGTATTAAGTAATGGCAAATTATTGTTTAATGATTTTGTTTTATAATGAAAGGGGCCATTTATTTCTATAGCTATATTTTTGAAAAAAGGAAAATTTTTGTTAATTTTTTTAAAATCTTCATATAATATAGCAATATCTATTAAAATTCCATTAGACGTTTTATATTCAACATGACAAGGAATATTAAAATCTTTTTGTATAATGTCAGCTATCTCATAATGTAAAGAAGAAGAATTATATGAAGATATTTTCATATTATTTAAATAAATATCTTTTAATAACTGTACAATTTTTATGTCAAAACGAAAGGATTTGTGCTCATTATTTTTTTTATAAATTTTTTTCATTATTTCTACATCTAAATTATCTTCCAAAGAATTATTAATATACATATTATAAGATAGATATGACTGATATAATTTACATAGCATAATCTCAATTGGAGTATTAATAGTATTATCCTTTGTATAAGCATAATAAGAATTGTTAAAATATATATTATTTCTATATATATTTAATACATCTTCATTTAAATTTTTAAAAAATGGTAAATTGTAAACAAAATTAAATAGCTCTTTATTTACAAAATTTAAAGCTGACATATATCTAATTATATCTACTAACTCTATAGGAGTATAATTATTTATATTTTTTAATATCATTTTAGAAATAAAATAGATCATTAAAATCTTTATATTTTCAATATTGCTATTTTTGGAATATCTTAGAAAATTTTCATTTTCTTGCATATTCATATTTCTTTCAATTTTTTGTTCATTATCTAATTCCTTATTGATGGTATTTTCATTCATAATAGGACATAAGTTATTTGTTAAATATAAAGATTTTATTAACTTTAATATCAAGCTTTTATTACTATAATTTAATAAATGAAGATTCTTAAAAATTAATATATATAAATTATTTTGTAGTTTAAAAGAATCATATTCTAATTCAGCAATACTATAAAAGGATAAAATCAATTCTTCTAAAGATAAATCATTTATATTTTTCATAATTTCTGAAACAATTATATTTAAAATTTTTAAATTTGTATATGGAAACTTTGACAAAATATATAAAACGTATACATAGAAATTAATTCTACTATATTCATCTTTTTTGTTATGCAAATTTTCTTTAATTATCTTATTTTCAATGAAGTCTATTTTATCTTTTGTCTTGTCTTCTGCAGAAAATTTTTGCATTTCTTCATTTTTATTAATTTGTTTTAAATCATCTAAAGAATTATTTAAATTAGAATAATTCGCTGTGTGATAAATAGAATAATCAAAATTTTTTAAATGATAGGGTAATAAATTATTATTAGATTCATTATTTTTTTTTTTTAAAATTTTTTCCATATTATTATAAATATCGTTTATATTTATTTCTTCATATAGGGAAATTACACTTTCATTTATTTTAATTTTGTTAGGGACTCCTTTATCAATTGTTAAATTGTCTTTATTCCTTCTTTTAACTGTATCATTATTACTCTTACAGTGGAAATCTATTCCATTATTTTTAAATAATTCACTATTGTATTCACTTTGAGTATTAACTTTTCCTTCGTTATTACTATTGTTGTTATACTCATTATTGTTATTATTCATATTAATCTTATCATTATTATTACTTTTATTCTCTTCATTAGAGTAATTATAAATGTGTTCTTCTCCCATATTATTATCCATATTTTTTTCTTTGTTATCACATTCATTTGTAACAGGAATATCCTTTTGATAATTTTGTTTAATGTTATTTTCTTCATGTATAAAAGTTTCATTATTTTTTTGAAAATATTTCAAAAGATATTTAGAAAAATTTAAAAATAGAGATTTAATATATATTTTTTTTATAAGACATAAATAAACTGCTTCACATAAATTGTATATATCAAACTTATCAATAAAGTAAACAATATAAAAATATATATATTTAAATATATTAGTATGGTCATATTTTAAGATATAAAAAGATTTTAAAATTGTAATAATATCTTTAATATTAATGTATGGAATAAATTCATAAATCTTTTTGCTTTTATCATAGGATGTTAATTTCTCATTGCCTGTAAATATTTTATAAATTATTTTCAAATGTTTATTAATAGAACCTACAACTCTTTGAAAATTTCTATTTTTTATAATATAATTTAATCTTTTTCTTTCCTCTTTTACTTTTAATAAGCTATCATCATCATCATCTGCATCTTCATTTCCCAGAGAAAGGAAATTATCATTTGATAGATTTTCATTTTTTATATTTTTAAAAAAATCATTTTTTTTTTCATATATCATACTACTTTTTAATTTTTTTTCATACAAATAGCTACTAGCAAACTTATAGAGAGAAAAAACACTCATTGTAATATTTAAATAATTATATGGATAAGTATCAAAAACAAATAATATGTCATCTATGTTATCCTTTTTATATATCCCATTATATATTTTATCAACATTATCATTCAGTAATTCATTATTTTTTTTAAGTATATAATTCCAATTAATTATTTTATTAGTTCTTTTTCTTATAATATTTAAATTTTCTTTTGGGCATAGCCACTTTTCCTCATCTATTAACTCTCTAATACTTTTACTATTTTTTTTTAATAATATGTATTCATTGACCAAATCATATTCTTTACTCTTATCTAAACAATCATTATTATTATTTATATCTTTGCTAGTCTGATTACTATTTAATTCCTTTAAATAATGGCTTTCATTTTCTTTGTATTCAAAATTTTCGTCTTCTTTAAAGTCAATTTCATGATTATCACTATTTTTTTGTAAATCTGTATCATCGCTATTTTTTATAAACAATATATGAGTACCTTTTTTTTTTAACTGTATTTTGTTTTCTCCAAATTTTATAAATAATGGTTTTATAAAATAATTCCTTTTATTAAATGTTTCCAAAAATAGAGTTCTACTATTATAATTTCTATTTTTAATATGATAATAAAAACTATTTCTTTTTTTTGAAAAACTACAATTTATGGCATTTTGATGGAATGGTAATTTATTTTTATTTTGAAACCTTTTGCTAATATATATGAAGTCTGATATTTTATAATTTTGTTTACAAACACTTTTTATACCAATTGAATGGACATCATTCACGTGTAAAATTAAAATTCCTATAATGTATATAAAGTTTATTGTTAGTAATAAAATATTAAAGAAAAAAATCATTATAATTTTTCATCTCAATACAAATAAAAGAAATATCTTCTAAATTCAATATTCTGAATTCTTAGTTTTTTTTTTTTTTTTTTTTTTTCTTTTAAATCAAAAACTGATACATCATTTTTTGTTTTCCAGCTATTTTATGTTGTGCTTCGCTTTTTTTAACACCAAATATTTGAGTATTTCTGTTTTTTTTTTTTTTTTTTTCACTTTATTTTTTCACATTTATTTATTACTTCTTTTTTTTTTTTTTTAAATTACTACAAAATGAATGAAATTGTATTACCTATACTAGTATTCTTTAAAAAATTTTAAAAATATTATTATAACATAAATTAAACGTCTACATGAAATATATTAAAAAAAAATAAAATAAAATAAAAATAAAAATACTTCAATGTATATGTAAATATTAAGTGAAAAATTCATTTTACTAATAAAAAAGAAAAAAAAAAAAAGGAAAAAGAGTTATTCTTAGTATAAGAGAAAGGAATATGATATATATCTTTTAATACAAATAAAAATTATTTTTAAGTAGAATTTCTTTTTTATAGGTAATATTTCTAATTTTATTTTTGAATTATCTATTACAGAAATAACGTTTTTAATTTTTATTTAAAGAAAAAAAAAAAAAAAAAAAAAATAATTTTTAAATTAAAATATATAAAATTTATAGGATATTTCTGGAATATTTATAAATATTGTAGCTCTAATGAAAGATATGAATGAATTCATTAAATAATTATATTACTTATTTAAACATTTTTATTTTTAAAATTATTCTTTAGAGCATCTTATAATTTTTTTTTATGTCAATGAACATTTACCATGGTGTTTTATATTTATAAATATTAGACTCAACATAATTATAATATTTTTTTCTATCTTCATTAATTACATAAAATTTATTTTAAGTTCTAATTTTAATTTCAAAAGTATGTAAGGTAAAGAAAAAAAAAAATTTATATATATATATATGTGTGCATATAAATTTTTTCTTTTTCTCGTCATAATTTTATTTGAAAATTGTAAAAATATAAAGGAAAATTTTATATAATTATGTATTAGTTATAAAAATATGAACATTATAAAAAAAAAAAAAAAAAAAGTAAAAAAATAATATAATATAATTAATACTTTAAAGTGAATTGCCATATTTAAAATTCTTCTTATTTTTATTTCAAAACTACAAAATAAATAAAAGATAAAAAAAAAAACATGTATGTGTTAATCATATTATTTTGTGTACATATATATATGATATATGTTTTATTCTTCAAAGGCCCATGGATTTGTCTTTAAAAAATGTTCTGTAGCTTCTTTGATTGCATAATTTGGGATTACTTCACGAATTGAAAATTGTTCTCGGCTAACTGGATCAAAAGAACCATTATGCTTGACATGTTCATGTAAAAATATTTTATCGTATGTCATTCCACTAGGAGTTATGACTGGTTCATTCATTAAACACATAGATATTTTACAGCACAAATAATCCGGTACTTGTTTTTTTTGAAAAGATTCCAGTATTTCTTTAAATAAACTTTCTGTTTGTTGAATTCTTAAATTTTTTTCATCTTCAGTTATATACCCAATTTGATTTAACAAATGTATTTTATCTATTAAAAAGGATTGCAATTCTGTGTATGCTAACTGTTTATTTTGTTCATCCCGTAAATATATCAATTTTTTCGCTTGTAAAATATATCTATTTATTTCACTTTCATTCGAATCCTTTAAATAACTTGATAATGTCTTAGCCTTCGTCAGTTTTTTTAACCCTTCTTCTAAACTATTTAAATGTAATAATGTTAGTCCTAGAATAAAATGAGCTTTAACTGATTCTTCTTCTAAATTTAATGCCTGTCTTGCATCAATATTTGCTAATTTCCATAGCTTCTGTTTTTTATAGCATAATGCTCTATTAGTGTAATAGACATGATTCGTATTATCATACTGTATTGCTTTTGTATAATAATCAATAGCTGATTCAAAATAGCCTAATTTATAACTTTGATTACCTAGTACTTTATATTTTTCCGCTTCTCTTTTTCTTTCTTCAGGATTTAATACTTCCATATTAATATTTGGATTTTTTTTTTCTTTTTCATCCATTTGATTATCACTCTGTTCATTCACATCTTTTCCTTTTTTAATTTGTTTATTAAGATTTTCACTATTCATACTATTTTTGTTACTATTTAATGAATTTGAGTTTTCATCATGTGCATAATAATTGAGATTCTTATTAGTTTCATTGTAATCCCAATTACTGTTTGATGCATAGTTTCTTTTGTTACCTGAATTTTTATTAAGAATGTTGTAATTTACATTATAATTAGTTTCACAGTTATTTGTATTATTATTAATATTATTATTATTATTATTGTTATTAGAATGGCTTGAATTAGCAGTTATATCATTTTGATTATTAGGTGAACTCTGAAAGTTGTTTATTAAATTACTAGAGGAATTCAAATTATTTTCTTTGTCATTAGAATTATAATATTCACTATTTTTATTTTCATTTCTTAAAATAAAATTATTACTACTGCTAATATTCAAATCATTATTATCATTATTATTAAAATTGCTATTGCGAGTATTATTACTGTTATTGTTACCATTTCTTTTATTATTATTATTACTATTATTTCCACAACTATTTCGAATGGTTTTATTTTTTTTTTTACATTTATGTTTTACCTTCGGATTATCAGTTGAAAAAGGATCTGATGAAATAAAAGAAGAAATGGATGATGAAGAAACAGATGAAGATGAAGAAGAAGAAGATGCATTCGTCTTATAAAAATTATTATTATTATTATTATCATCATCATCATTGTTATTATTACTGTTATTATTATTATTATTATTATTATTATTATTATTATTATTAGTTTTATCGTTGTTAAAATCATTATTATTACTATTATTAGTATTATTATTATTACTATTATTATTGTTGTTATAATTATTATTTTGATTATTTCCTTTGTTAGTATTTTCGCTGTTCTTATCTTTTACATCGTTATTACCATTGTATCTCATTTTATTACTTAAATTTGCACTTATATTCTTAAACTTAAATTTGTTCCATGCTTCACAAAAATCTAAATATGATGCAGGTTTATTATTTGTGTAAGAATTATTTATTGAACTATTTGAATTATTCATATTATAACTTTGATTAGATTCTCTATTGTTATAATTTAATGATAAATTTTTATTGACATTTATATTTGATGAATTCATTTCTTTTTCATTTGTTAAATTAATATTATCAAAATCATTTATTTTATAGTCATCAAAATTAGAATTTTTACTAATGTTGCTATTATCGTCATTTTTCATAAAATTATTAAAATTGTTTGATAAATAATTAATATTCCAATTTTTTAAAAAACTTTTTTTTTTATTTTCTTTGTTTTCCATTAGTGTTAAAGATTTTATCAAATTTTTTTGGTGAAATGATTGATTTTTTAATGTATTTGCATTACAATTTTTATTGATTCTGTAATTGTTATTTAAAATATTCTTAATCTTTTTATTTATAAAATTATTGTATTCTTGAAATCTTTTGTTACTGTTTTTCTTAATATTATATTGATTATTTAAATTTTCTATTTTATTATTTATGGTTTCTGATTTATTATTCATTATTAAATCAGTTTTTTTTTTCTTTTTTCTTTTTTCTTTTTTCTTTTTTCTTTTTTCTTTTTCTTTTTTTTTTTTTTTTTTTTTTTTTTTTTG